AAGTAAAAAAGAATGATGCTAAATAAAAAGACTGTATTTGGAACTTCAAATATCGATTTTTTTTTCCAGATAATTAGGTCAGTATGGTTCAGATTCGAAATTTTTTTAATATTTTAGAACAAATGCAAAGTAAGGGATTCCAAAACTAAAATGTTTTTTGTTTTTTTTTTAACATTTAAAATTAAAATGTAGCAGTTCACGTCTTTTCTTGCATGTCACTTTTGTATGACCGTTGAATATTATCGATATTAAATAAAGAATAATGTTCGGGGGCAGTGAGAGAATAGGCATAGTGAAAATTAAGGAAATTAAGATTGCATATCTGCGTGAGCAGGGGAGGAGGGGGAGAGGAGAGATCATAAATTGAATAAGTAATTTGTAGGGGAAACATTCTCGCATAAGCAAAAACGGAAAGAAAATATTTGAAAGTAAAATCGTGAAACAGACAACGGATCTTACTTTAATTTAGAATTAACAGCTTTTAGGAATTTCCTTGTTTTGTTATGTATGAATGATTTTCTCAGATTATCCATAAATCGGATTTTGCCTTAAGTCGTTAAACCTCGCTTTTACATATTATTTTATGCTGTTGATCGCACATAGTACCCTTTTTTTCAATTTCACTTTTTTGGTAAAATTCAAAAGCTCAGTGAGCTTACCTCTTTAAAATCTTCCGTTATCTTTCTGCTTTTTTTTGCGTGATGATGCTGTGTGCTTGCAGTTATTGTTGGACAAGTTAAGGCTGTTGCATATTTTTTAAAAATTCTGTTAAATTTCGATATCTGTCTTTTGTTTCTCATCGTTATGTATCATTTAGATGTCTCAGTTGTTATAACATATCTCATTCTCATTATTTGTGCCGGGTCAGCGACTTTTCCGTGAACCGGGTCTTGATCTAATCGCTGGGCGAGCCGGGTCCACCAGCTGCCCAGGCTCAGAGCTATTCACTTTCGTCTGTTTCAAAGCAAAGCCTTTATACATGTATATACATATAACACTTTTGTTGATCGTATTCTGCTTTCTTCCTATTGCGTTTTGTTTCTTTCGCAGCTTTATGCCTTTTTTTTTCGTTCAAATAAAATTTTGACAGTTATTCTGCTGTTTTATGCAAGAAGCAAAAGTCAAGTGTTTGATCTTGCTGACGAACCCAGCTGCTTTTTTGGCTTAGAGTATGCTGTTGTGATAAGAATTACTGTGTTGTAAATAGGGAGTGTTACTCTAGAAAGATGACAGGCTTCCCTCTTGATTGTTACGGACTTGTATGCATTATTTGTATTCATGTAGGAAGTTTGCATCGAATTACATACTCCTACGGATGTTAGTGACGAACTTAGGAGTAAATAATTGGCCAGCGCACGGGCTGTCCGTGCGATGATGCATTTTTTGCATAGTTCCCCGCAGTTTTTATCGCTACCGGCATTGGTTTTTCGGCAGATCCTTCTAGCTAAACAAATTAAGGCTGGCCGCCAAAACTGGCAGGAAACACCCCCCTAAAATTTCAGCTTTCTAGCATCTCAGAACCCCGGGTTATGAATTTAAGCGGAAAAAATTCGGGTACCACGCTTACCCGGGGGTTGGGTTTGGGCTGATCAGTACCTACTTGGGCGGGGAACATTCCCATAAAATTTCAGCTTTCTAGCTTTTCTGGTTCGCGAGTTAGCAGCTTACCCGTAAAAAACTTTGTCGGGCTCTTACGTGGACACCACGTGGGAAAGACCGCCTATTTTAGGGATGGAGCCCGTACTTGCATGTAGATTAAGTCCCCAAAGTTTCAACCCTGTAGCTTTTGTAGGTCTCGAGATGAAAAATCGGTACGGAGACCCTGCGTTTTTCGCATTGCATAGCTGTAAAAAACGCATGATTAGTACTGATGAGGTCCAGTTGTGGTGCTGAGCTAAGGAGTATACAGTTTGAAGAGTACATTTTGAGGAGCTCTGTTTTGGAAATGAAGCCATATTTGTAAGGGCAATGGGTCTGTTTAGAACAGCAACACTTTTTCTTGCGTAAGAGTACGTAAGGTAAAAATATAACTTACCTGGGAGGCACTCAAGTAGTCCTGTTACTTCCTCTTTGGTATTTCTCACTGAAGTGCGATATGTACTAGTTACTAGTAAAAACAAGCAACTTGTCCTATCCAGCGATCTTGCCTTTTTGTGTAGTCGTTGCTTATTTAAGGGAGTAATAGTGCGCAGGACGTTTCCCATTTAGAGGAGGAACTGTTTGTTCAGATGGTCATAGTGGGATACACCAAGCA